AGCCCCCCCGAACCCCCAAATCCCCCCTCCACGGCCCAGTGTGAGCAGGATCCGTCCCCAGCCCAGACGAGCCGGTGCTGTTAATTATTAACGAAGGGGCAAAGTCCCCGTCTGCCGCGTCCCAGCTCCGAGCTGGGGTCCCCCGTCCCGCTGTCCCCCCCGCGGGGACACCCCGGGGACGGCTCCGAGCCTGGGTCCCCGTCCTGCCTGCCCCCCCTGTCTCTCCCACCAGCACCTCCGATGGCCACGGCCACGTCCCCCGTCACCTCCGAGGGGGTCGGGGTGGAAAACCCCATTAAACACCTCCACACAGCCACTGCTCCTAGGGCTGGACTCAATGGGGGGCTGGGACCCCCAAACTGGGCTGCTTTGCTCCCTCCCTGCGACCCCAGGTCAGGGGGGAAAGGGGACATATGGGTGGGCACCCAGCGGGGTGCCCCCTCCTCCCTGGGTGACTTGGGGCCCCTCCGGCCCCACTTTTGGCACCACAAACCCCACGGGCGGGACGATCCCACAACTTTTCGGGGTGCAGAGGCAGCCGAAAATAAAAGACTCCCACAATTTTCCTCTGAGCAGCAGCCTGGGGCTCAACCCTGATACGAGACACCGGAGAATCCCGGGGGGCTGAGCCTCGGGGTGGCTGGTCTGGGCCTGGGGCAGCTCCCGGATCCGGGTGATGTAGGCCAGACGTGATGGGAGCTGGCACTTGGATCCCGGAGGGAATCTTGGTTTGGGGGAAAATACTGCCGGATTTGGCCACTTGGATTTTGGCCGCCACCGGCCCGCGGCCTCGTCGGGGCCAGTGCTAACGAGGGCCGTAATTAACGCCCGCGTGCGCTGGTGCCGGGGAGCCTAAAAGACCCCGCAAAGTGGGGATCTGCAGGCTGGGACAGATCCTGGCACCCAGGGATGGATCCTGGCACCCCGGGACTGATCCTGACACCCAGGGATGGATCCTGGCACCCCGGGACAGATCCTGGCACCACAAGGATGGATCCTGGCACCCCGGGATGGATCTTGGCACTCCAGGGACAGATCCTGGCACCCAAGGATGGACACAGGCACCCAGGGATGGATCCTGGCACCCCAGGATGGACACAGGCACCCCAGGAGGGACCCTGACACCCCGGGACAGATTCTGGCACCCTGGGATGGATCCTGGCACCCAGGAACAGATCCTGGCTCCCCAAGACAAATCCTGGCACCCAGGGACAGATCCTGGCACCCCAGGACAGATTCTGGCACCCAGGGATGATGGGCCCTGGTACCCTGGGATGGATCCTGGCACCCAAGGATAGGCCCTGGCACCCGGGTGTGAATCCTGGCATGTGGGACCCCAGGAGGGAGCCTGGCAGGTTGGGATGGATCCTGGCACCCCAGACAGACCCTGGCATCTCCGGACGGATCCTGGCACCCAGGGACAGACCCCAGCAGACTGGGACGCATCCTGGCACCACAGGACAGATCCAGTCACCATGGGATGGACCCTGGTACCCCAAGATGGATCCTGGCACCCTGGGACAGATCCTGGCACCCTGCATGGACCCTGGCATCCCAGGATGGATCCCAGCACCCTGAGACAGACCCCAGCAAGCCAGGGCGGATCCTGGCACGCTGGAATGGATCCTGGCAGTGCAGGATGGGTCCTGGCACCGCAGGATCAGTCCTGACACCCTGGGATTGACTCTGGCACCATGGGATGGATCCTGGCACCCTGGATGGGCCTGATACCCCAAGCCAGATTCTGGCAGCCCAGCTGGATCCTGGCACCCTGGGATGGATCCTGGCACCCTGGGATGGACCCTGGCACCCCGGGATGGATCCCAGCACCCTGGAACAGATCCTGGCACCCCTGGCCTGGGGTGGACACTTCTCCAGGCCCCCCCACGTCCCCGCCGGCAGCAGCTCCTGGCACCGACGTGTACCAAAACCACTCTGTATTTCCAAGGCTTTATTCCGGCAGCGGAGCTGGTGGGAGCCCCCCTGGGGTGGGGGGGAGCCAGGCCCCCCCATTTCCCACCCCACAGCTCCCATGGGGACACGGGGGGGGCCAGGACGGACGGAGCGGGGCGTGGCGGGGACAATGGGGGGGTCGGAGCCCTCGGTGGGGAGCAGGGTGGGGGCGCTGGCTCAGGTCGCCCTGGG